ACTATAATGTGATTATATCATTAGTGTAACTGAAAAGTGAATGAGTAATCTGCTAGTCTTAATAATACTTTACTATTTTATTACGAAATTAATTTTATGACAGTTGCAAGATTGTTCGGAACTGAATTGTAAACAAATTTTTATTACGAGAATAATAATTAGCCCTCAGGTTGCACTTGAGTGGTTACTTTACATTATGAAATGCGTTAATTTAAAAGGTAGTTCTTATGGGTCTTCAGTAACATTGCAGAAGCATTTTACGTAGTAGGTACCGTCAAATGGTTGAAAAAAAACAATCTGTGTTTATTTCTAGTTAGACTTTACCCCACTCATATAAAGAGCATGTTATTGTATTTTTAATAGTTTTTTATTTTACCCCCTATTCAGTCTTCGTCTTTAAATAATACTGCCGTGGTTATTAATAATACTGACGACCGAATGGCGTAGTGGTTTGTGTAACGGACTGCTATTCCAAAGGTCGCGGGTTCAATTCCCGCTCAAGTCTAACATTTATCTGCATGAACATTTAATGTTTGATTTGGTCTGGGTGTTTCTATGTATAATAAGTATGTATTTACAAAAAAAAAAGTATTTATGTATTTATATCAGTTGTCTAGTACCCATAGTACAAGCTCTGCTTAGTTTGGGATTAGATGGCGTTGTGTGAATGTGATACAATATTATATTATTATTACTATTAAAACATAATTGCGCCAGTATGAAAGTTTTGTAAAATATTACAAGGAATTAGAAATATTATTATTGTAAAAGACAAAGACACGACATGGGTTTTTATCTGACACGACAAGAGCACAATCTCGTGCCTTTTACCATTAAACACACAGTTTTGAAAAAAAAATGAATTATAGGATTAGGATTATTTACCATGAATATTTTTGCTCTATTCTTTTTCTCGTTTACACAAATGCTTTTTTTTTAAGCTTAAAATTATAGGCGTTATAACAATAAATGGGATGGTCCGATATATCTCATTCTTATTACACCGCAGATTCTGTTCTAGCGGATTTTCTGTCAGTCCTGATATGATATCCTTTTATTTTAGTTGAAGGTGTAACAAAATAAACCGACTTTTGTGTCTGTATATTGTGTTGCTCGAAAGTTTGTGTTCTTATAAGTGCATTCCTGCGTTGTCTTTTTAAGTGCAATATTATAGTTATAATCTAACGGTAATTAAAAACGGTATTAAAAACGCCTTTACACGCTTTAACAATACGTGAAACATTAATTATCACGCCTAGTAAGTAAGTAGTAGCAAACTTTTGTATCATAGTCTTCAAACGTTTTATTTAACGATACCACACCATTGGATAGAAAAACAAATGCTTCCGTTCACATCCAGACGGTTAGAAATAAATTGGTTTCATGTGGTAAAAAGTGATAGCTTCATCAACGTGATATCATAGTGGCGAGCGTAAGTACTCTTCTTGACTACGGCACCTTCGAAAGTTATAGTGAATTGTATTTTCTTCAATGAAATGCAAATCATTGGATATGTTACGTATTTAAATATAGAAAGACAAATTAATTAATTAATTTTAAGTATATACAAGAAAACAGCAATAATCTTGTTTCTTTTTTCATTTTTAGGGTTCCATACCTCAAAAAAAACGGAACCCTTATAGGATCACTTTGCTGTCCGTCTGTCTGTCTGTCAAGATGCTTTATCTCGGGAATGCGTGGAGGTATCGAGTTGAAATTAAAACGATATACTCAGATCTACAGCCTATATTAACGTAATAAAAAGATACGACTGTTTATGCCGCAAAATACGTATATTTCGACACTCTCAAGGGAATCAAAGTAGGAGGAGTATTTTCCGTTGACCGTCTTATACTACAAGTAGAAATAGTAAAAATCTAAAATACTACAAGTAAAAAGAAGAAAAATCTGAAACTATACATTTGTAATTAAATCCTACAGGATTTAATTACAAATGTATAGTTTCAGTTTACAAATGTAGCTACAAATTTGAAGGAACCCTCGGTGGGCGAGTCGGACTCGCACTTGTCCGGTTTTTATTGTTCATTATACTTCAAGCCATTAGATTACTATACTTATTGTTAGTAGAGTAGTAATGTAATTAACGTTGCTTTAGTGCAAAATACCTGCGTTTAATTTATTTATATACTTTATGGTTATCATAGGCCTCTCCTTAGAAAAGAGGTTTTATGTCCAGCAGAGGACTAGTAAAGGTTCTTGATGATGATGATGATGGTTATCATAATTACTGCACACAGCACTAGCCGTGGTCACAAGCGGACTCATACTCGGTCTGCCACTGACCATGGCCCGTGCAAATTGATTTAAACTTCAGACAATGAAATTTTTTGTATTACATATTAACGTTATTAATTACTGTTAATTATTCATCATCATCAACAGCCTTTAATAGTCCACTGCTGGACATAGGCCTCTCCTTAAAAGGAGGTTTTGGCCTACTATACCACGCTAGCCACACGGGTTGGTATAGGGTTTGTGTCAAGTTTTCCTTCTCTTTGCAGTGCTATTGTCCAGCGTAGTTTGCTCCCTTAGTCGGCTTTTACAACACCATCGGGATGAATAGGGTTGACACTCTGTATTCTTAATATGTCCCCACATGGAGATTTAACGGTATTAACAGCATTCATTAATGTTCATTATTAATAGTAATAAACTATAGAACGCGGCAGTTTTTAAGTTAGAATAACACATATGTTTATCAGATATGTATTTAAGCGAATAAATTACCTTCGTTTTCCTGTGCGGAAATCCCCTCTGATACCACCCATCGGTGGTTATATCGGACTCGAACCGACCAAAAACCACACGCAGTCTCGGGTACCAGTAGTCGGGGAACCAGGTATACCTTAGGAAGGAAAACCCTGGTACCCTGCTGGAAGGTAGGGTAGGTCTTTCAGTGTGTGGTTTGGTAATTACTCTCTCTCTCTGTGTCTGGACTTTTATGCAGACCGTATTTTTAATTAAGAATCATGGAACTAGTCATTACCCTGTTTACAATGAAAAGAGTATGAATATGACGTGACTTAATCGTGAGCACATCTTTGCTTATGAACTTATGGGCTCTGCGGCCAACAGAGTTAGGAACTTAAAGTTAGTATTTAGCAGAGTCATTTGGAAGGCAGAACTTGGGCTGTACCTCTAATTTGATGGAAGCGATGGCCTCAATTAGTTAACTGAACCTAACAAGTACGTGACAGTGAGGACTAGAAGCTGTAGATGTTCAATATTCGATATGTACACTTTAGAAAGTTTGTGTATGTCTGCAAGCACTTAAGCTCAGAAAAGGGATACTCTTGTTTTTCCGAACGGTTGAAATCTTCAAGATTTGCTTCACCCCGATTGAGCACCCGCCAGAGTTATATTAACATGTTTATTCATGAACTCTCTAGAATCTTATTTCTTTCGGACTTGTTTGCGCACGTACATATACATGTCTCTGCCTCGGTGGTGCAGTGATAGCGTATGCGAGTACTGTGCTGGGGTCTCGGGTTCAATGCCCGGATTTTCGGACCAAATGTGTGTATGATATGCAGATATTTGTTTCGGAGTTTTGGTTTTCTATGTATAATATGTGTGGATGAAAAAAAAGTATAAAAGTATTCTATCAGTCAATTTGGCTTTCATAGTACCAGCTCTACTTAGTTTGAAACTCGATAGCGTTGTGTGTCAGATGTTCGAAAATATTATTATTATTATAATGGCTAGAAGTTTATGGATCACGGAGTACAACAACCAATGGTTGGTGGTTGGTTGTTGTACTCCGTGTTATGGATCAAGAGCGAGAATGCTTTGAGAATAGATCCCTGGGGTACCCTGGACCTCATTGCAATTAGTCAACTGCAAAATCAACTGAAGACGACTAGAATTGACCGTATACTCAGAAAATCAGACTTCCAGTGATAGAGTTCGGTTCGTATGCCAGTCAGAGATGTCTCTAAAGGCTTCGATGTAAATCGCATTTCTCAAGAATTCATAAATATCTCTGAATATTGTTATTTTAGTGTAGTGTACTACTTGTATTGTTCGTAAAGAATGTAAATATTTCAAAAGCAGTTTTTTTTTTATTTAATACGAAGTATGTACTTATAGACAAATCATTTGGGATTAGATCCGATAAAACTAGTAGTAAATTACTATTGTTTCGTTTTTGTTGTGACCCACAATATTAAGCTGGGGTTTGTAATGTCTAACGAATATTATTAAACTAAATTAATTCGGTAGGTTTCTACTTATTTTTTATATTTTTAAGGTACATAAAAAAAGCTGTGTTATTAATTAAAATCAAGTTAAATTTTAGGTTTGGATTGTCGTCGCTTCAATTTGTTGATGTCACAATTGACCGCGGTAAATATCCAAAATTACATACTTTTTTTTAATTAAAATTATATATAATTCTTCTCACATATTAATTATTATATTATGAAGGATTTTAAAAAGACAGATATTCAAATTAGATCAGAAAATAGTTGAACACAGTCTAGTTTTTATGCCATAGTCATATCATCACACAAAAAACAGCCAGGTGACTTGCCTGTCATTGGTTTTGTAACACCTGTCAACACTGTCCCTTTATCACGTGCTCCGGAGAGGCACGAACGCTTCCGAAGTCAAACGAACCCAGACGCAAATAGTTTTGAACTTCTGCGGTTTGCTGCAGCCGTACTTCGCACTGTTTAGCATCCCTTTTACACTACAGCTATTTATTTAACATCGACTACGTTATTCGATGTGTAATAAGAAAACGATGATGATGTCTGTGAATTATATGGTAGAACAATAGCACATAAACACAGTGCACCACACAGCTACAACGATAAATAAATCTTGGCGCTAAAGTGGACTTCTACTTTTATCCGTTATATTTCTTTAAAAATACAAAAAAGAAATTGCACCTGCAAAAATAGTATTGATTCACATTCTCACCGAGTAATAAACAATTAGGTATTTTATTGAGGAAGTGGTGATTGTTTGTTCCGTACCTGTTCCCCACCAATATCGCTTCCAGCTATCTGTCACAGCGCGAAACATGGCGTTACGTGCGACGCCGACTACGCGTGGCGGTCAACTGACTAAGTGACTAAGATACACACAGTGCTAGCTCGAGTATGTATGAAGACGATTAAAATTCATAAATTCAAAATCAATTCGTTACTACCTTTACTTAGTAATCAATCGAACTATATTAATTAAGGTACAATTGGGGCGTTCTTTTTAAGGCCTACTGTGATGGAGTGGGCCTTTTATACGAGTAACCGACAAAGGGCTCTCCGTCGCTCCCTGATTCAATTAATCTCTAATTAGACTCGGGAGTGCTCTTAATGTTGAGTAGAGACGGATTTGACATCGTAGCCTGTCACTAAAGTAAATGGAAATCTGACAGCACGATGGGTTTCAGCGTCCATATAATTGAATTGAGGTCAACTGTGTCAATGTTCAGGGAAACGCATATATTTTCATACTAACACATCTAGGGTTGTTATGTACCGGGTTTTCAATCAATCGAGTTCTATGTAATAGTGGTTAGTTCATAGTTGTTTTATTCCATTTATTGCGATGTAAATGTCCATTCAATTTTGTAATCAAGTAAATCTAACACTAAATCTATGACTTGACCTTAATAAATCAGTTTTTGCAATTGCGGGGCCCATGACGGCGAAACCGGTGGTCATGGGTTCGATTCCCACCCTGGACAAGTAATTGTGTGTTGATCACGATTATTTGTTCTGTGTCTGGGTGTAATTTATCTATAATATGTATGTATTTAAAAATATGTAAGTATGTTAGCAGTCTGGTTATCATTATTTTTTTTCAATACCAATACCTTCACAATTTTGTCGAAGCGGTGTGATTCAGAGAAAGAGAGATCCGTCATATGATAAAAAACCTTTTAATAACCTCAAACAGATGGTGATCTCTTTTCAACAGGTTCTTTGTTATCGCGTTCTGTACAGTAATCATTCATTATCTCATGGTGTATTTATATCAACTGATGGCAATGGTTTTGTAACTTGTTATACCCATTTAGTAACATCAATATTTAGCAGTGTTACTGGTTGGGACAAAGAATGTTGGATCCAGAAGCACTGATACACGTTGCGACTTTTTTTTCACAGGAACACCACTTGTCCGTGTGCTGACGGATTAAGAATACGGAGTGTCACCACCCCTATTTATCCCGTGTGTGTCGTAAGAGCCGACTAAAGTAGCAAACTTCGCTGGACAGCAGCACTGCAATGAGAAGGATAACTTGATACAAACCCAGGCGGGTTGGTTTAGGGTTTGTTTCAAGTTTTCATAGCCAGCGTGGTATAGTAGACAAAAACCTTCTTTCTTTCTTTCTGTGTCCATTAAAGATATGATAATAGATGGATAAAAATGTTGATGATGAACACCAATATTTTGCAGTGTTACTGGTCAGGAAAAAAAAGTTCTCATTGAGTAACAGTTTGACTCAATGGGATTTTTTCCTAACATGTAACATTATTGGGTGTTACTGGATGGAAATGAACCGTTTCTTATTATCTCTATAAACCTCATAATAGGCGAAGATCATTTGTAATGTAGGCAATAGACTGTACTGTATAATAATTAAACAGTTCTTTCTTGCAAGATATATCCCAAATAGTGTTATACTTTTCATTTTAGTTTCTATTGAAGTTAAAGGCTGTAGTAGATAGTTTGGGCAATCAAAATAGTTTCAATATTTTAAAATCAGCACCAAATAACCCCTTTAAATAATATGACATAGATTAAATACAATAAAATTTAGATTTAGTGAAATAGAAATTTCAAAATTCTATCGGGGTCTCGTGGCTGACTGGTAACAGATTAGGTTAACATATTGTAAAGTTAAGCAATTCTGGCCAGGTCAATCTATCAGTGTTTGCCCATTCTGAACACATTGAGACCCCTCTGTGCCTTGGAGAATACGTTAAACCGTCGGTCCCAGTTGCCATACGAACGTCTGTGGCTATCGTTACGGGTAGTTGGAGCTCTAAAAAATCCGACAAAAGTCTTTCTACAGAACTTCAATATCGCCTATTTTATAGTACTTGAGTTGTGGAGGTCTGACGACTAGTCGCCGTATCGTAGTAGACTTAAAGCGGACCCCAACCCAGTGAAGAAAAAATCAAATTTAAAAAACCAATAAATATGGTGTATTCCTTGATCTTATCAAGTCTAATAAAATTATTCCCTTATTCAAATCTGGTAGTAAATCTGAGCCAACTAACTTAAGACCTATCCCAGTACTACCAGTATTTAGCAAAACTTTTGAATAAATTATGTATGATCAATTACAAAGTTTTTTTAATAATAATAATTTATTACACAATAGACACAACTGATGACAGTGTTGAGCTAGTAAAACATATAGTTTTACTAGCTCAACACTGTCATCAGATGTGGAGCTACCACTTGTAAAACCAAATTGCCCACGTTGCCTCTGAAGATGCCCACGATTCTCTAGGTATCTTTTGCGCGGGCACGCCGTCATCGCGGCGGTAAGACCGGTTATGGAGGATTGGCTCGAGAGGCGTCACGGGACCCTCTCATACCGATTGACGCAGGTGATCACTGGGAAGGGATGTTTCGGAGATCACCTGTGTCTGATCCGCAAGGAGCCAACGCCTGAGTGCCACCACTGCGATGACCAGACCGTGGACACGGCTCTCCACACGCTGGCAGAGTGCCCGGCGTGGGTTGAGCAGAGGCGAGACCTCGTGGCGGCCATCGGAGTGGTAGTTCTCTCGCTCGATAGCCTGATTGCGGCTATCGTGCGGAGCGAGAGTGCGTGGAACTCTGCCGTCTCCTTCTGCGAGCAAGTTATGCTCGCGAAGGAGACGGCGGAGCGGGACCGGGAGAGGTTTAGAACTCTCCCGGCCCGGAAGGCCCGGGCACGGGCCAGGCAGCGCAGGCGACTCAGTCGCCGGAGGTCGCTCCGTCCTCCATAAGCGCAGGCCTGGGGGTGACAGGTGAGGCCATCTGTCACCCTAGCAGAAGCAGGCCGGGGTGGCGGCGAGCGCGTTGCGAAGCGCGCTCGCTTCCAGGGAGCACAGAGAACACGGGGGGGGGGTCGTCTACTTGTCTGTAGATGACCCGAGGTATGTCGGGGCATACCTGGTTCCCCGGCTATTAGTACCCGGCGAAGGCGTGCGGTTTTAGTCGGTTCGAGTCCGACATGCCACCGACAGGTGGTATCCGAGGGGATTTCCGCACGGAAAAAAAAAAAAGGTATCTTTTGCGATTTATCTAAAGCTTTTGATTGTGTTGTTCATGAAAAGCTAATCAGGAAATTACAGCACTATGGTATCAAAAACAAAGCACTAAAACTTCTTGCTTCATATCTAGATAGTAGAATTCAGAAAGTTGATATTAATGGTGAGCGGTCTCTAGGCTCTGTGGCAGAAATAGACGTTCCACAAGGTTCTATTCTCGCCCTTATTTGTTTTTAGTATATATTAACGACAAGGACAATCTCGAGAATGTGTAAATTTTCCGGATACGTCACTACTATTTAGACTAAAACGGACACTTTCTAATTTCACAGACGTAAACAGCGCCATTTCGAAAGTGGTTCATTGGTTTGAAGTCAACAATTTGCTTTTAAATCTTCAAAAAACTAAATGTATACGTTTCACTACGCCAAACGTCAAGCCAGTAAAAACTACTGTGAAGATTAAGGATGTCAAGTTGGACCTTGTGAATACTACGACATTTTTAAGTATAACACAGATTCTAAGCTACAGTGGGGCCCACATATTGATAGCAGCATATGCAATATGACAAATTCGAGAGTTGACTGATGTTGATACAGCACGACTTGTCTATTTCAGTTATTTTCATAGCATAATGTCGTATTCTTAGGTATTCTACAGTGGGGGTTGGTGCTGCCGACAATTAAACTGTTTTTGTGTGCTGCAAAAGAGAACGATTCGAGCACTTTATAATTTAGATAATTGTTTTTTAATAAGGCAGAAATTTAAAGAAATAAACATAATGACAGTGGCATGTCAATATACTCGTATATATGAAATTGTAATATTTGTTCATAAAAACAAAGATACCTTTTTGAAAAAAAGTGATGTACATTCTATAAATACCATAAATAGAAATAAACTTGTTGGCTCTAGGCAATAATAAACCTCTAGGCTCCAAAAGATAAACAAGTCGTCTCGAGGTCAATGTGTCCGATTTTATAATAAAATCCCAAATAATATTCAAGACTTAAGTATTAACAAATTTAAATCCGCAATAAAACGTAAATTATGTCAGAAAACCTGTTACTCAATTGTGGATTACATACGAGTAGAAGACAAAAATGCTTGGGATTAACTTAGCGCAGGCTATTTCTTAAGTGGAAATGTGATGTGAGCTAGGGTGTTTTTTTATTATTACTTTTTTCAATTTTTATGTTTAACTTCACTTTCTCTTTTATTTGATATTTTGCCTAATCTTATTTTTCTCTTTATTGTTTTTTTTTACGTTTTAGTCCTTAATAACGAACATACTGGCACACATCAGAACAATGTTGTGGTATATTGAATGATGATGTTATTGTATTTGTCTGTGAATTGCAAAAGAACCATGAGTTCTCAAGGCTCAACTCCTTGAAAAGGGGTAGTTGTAGATCGGCACTGGTTATCATAGATTTTGTATAAGTATGATTTTTATTAAATTTATTTTCCTAACTATTTGACAAAACAGAAATTGTTGCTATTGTGTGTGTGTTCAGTCTACATAAAAGATGATTACACACAATTTCTTTTTTTTTTAAATAAAGACATTTTGTATTGAATTTAATTTAAAAACTCCTCAAAGTTATTAAAAAAATATTATTACAATAGTACAAGTATAAATACTTGTACTATTGTAATAATAAATAAATGTTATCTTACTTGTCCGTTTTTGTGAGTGAAGGATTAAGAATACGGAGTGTCACCACTCCTATTCATCCCTTGGGTGTCTGCAAAGAGAAGGAAAACTTGATACAAACCCTATACCAACCCGTCCGGCTAAAGGCTGTTGAT